AAAAACTGAGCTATTCATCTCAGCTATTCATTCTGGACTTAAGCTGGTAAGAACTGACCACAGACAAACTCCTCTAGGGTTTGAAGGAGTGTCTCCTTTCAGAGCCCATGTTGGAGATGGGATGATCTCTTTGGCATATGTGTAGGTTCTTTTATTGTTTTAATAAATTTTCTCTGTAATGCTTTCACATTAAGAATAAATATGCTCACTTAGAAAGAGCTGTGAGATAACCTGTGACTGCCGGTGATTACACTGTTCTGAGCCTTCAGAGAGAAAGCAAAGCGCAGATGCCGGCCTCTCTAGCAATCTGGCTTGATGGGAATATTACACTGTAGGCAGAGAACTGAAGCCTAGAAAATACTCTGGTCATGAGGGAGAGAGACACGGCTCTCACACTTTGTTCCCTCTAATCTCTTCCATCCACATGCGGATTTTTTCCACACATGTGCAGAATAAATTTTTATGTGTACCGAGGCATGTGCGAATGTGCACCACCAGTAGAAATATTTTTTTTAAAAACCCTAGTTGTGAGTGCTCTATTAACCTGCTGGGTGGCATGTGAATCTCTCCTGAGCAGTCGCACAAGTGCTCATTTTACAGGGTACACTGGTTTCACCCAAGAGAGGTGATAGCTGAAGGATACTGAAGCCCTTGCTGGACCATGGAGGGGAAATGCAGGTGCAGGTGACCTGACCTGTGACACCCATGGTTTCTGAATCCCAGGACAGTGCTTTTCTATACAAGAGCTCATCACCTCCCTTTCCCAGCTAAAAAGACATTCCTTTTCCAATATGAAATCAGCAGATTTTGGTTGAGATGGTGGGAATTTTTGAAACTCTTTCACCCTCAGCAAATTAATTCTATGACATTTATGGCTGATGTATTTTCCTAGACCAGCTCAGACTAGGCAACACAGTATGGGAAGCAGGTAGGCAGCCCTCGGTGGAGAAAGAACAGGCTAAGAACTATTTAGAAAAGCTAGACATACACAAATCCATGGGTCCAGATTTAATATATCTGAGGGTACTGAGGGAGTTGGCAGATGTTACTATAGAGCCTTTGACTATTATCTTTGAAAATCCGTGGAGATCAGGAGAGGTCCTGGATGATTGGAAAAAGGCAAATGTAGTTCCCATCTTTAAAAAAGGGAAGGACGACAATCCAGGGAACTATAGACCCGTCAGGGAAGTAGGTGGATGTGATATACCTTGACTTTAGCAAAGCTTTTGATAGTGTCTCCCACAGTATTCCTGGCAGCAAGTTAAGGAAGTATGGATTCGATAAATTGACTGTAAGGTGGATAGAAAGTTGGCTAGATTGTTGGGCTCAGTGGGTGGTGATCAACAGCTCAATGTCTGGTTGGAGGTTGGTATTAAGCGGAGTGCCCCAACGATCAGTTCTGGGTACAGTTTTGTTCAACATCTTTATTAATGACCTGGATAAGGGGATGGATTGCACCCTCAGCAAGTTTGCGAATGACACTAAGCTATGGGGAGAGGTAAATATGTTGGAGGGTAGGGATAAAATCCAGAGTGACCTAGACAAATTGGAAGATTGGACCAACAGAAATCACTTGGGACAGAAGAATCCCAAGCACTTTTACAGGATGGGAACTGACTGGCTAAGTAGCAGTTCAGCAGAAAAAGAGCTGAGGATTACAGTGGATGAAGCTGAATATGAGTCAGTGTGCCCTTGTAGCCAAGAAGGCTAATGGCATATTAGGGTGCATTAGGAGGAGCACTGCCAGCAGACCAAGAGAAGTTATTATTCCTCTTTATTCAGCACAGGTGAGGCCACATCTGGAGTATTGCAACCAGTTCTAGGCCCCCCATTATACAAAGGATGTGGACACATTAGAGAGGGTCCAGCGGAGGGCAACCAAAATGATTAGGGGGCTGGAGCACATGACCTATGAGGAGAGGCTGAGGGATTTGGGCTTATTTAGTCTGCAGAAGATTGAGGGAGGATAGTAGCCTTCAACTTCCTGAAGGGAGGTTCCAAAGAGGATGGAGAGAGGCTGTTCTCAGTAGTGACCGATGGCAGCACAAGGAGCAGTGGGGGAGGTATTTAGGAAAAACTATGTCACAAGGAGGTGATGAAGCACAGAATGGGTTGCCTAGGGAGGTGGTGGAATCTCCATCCCGAGGTTTTTAAGTACCGGCTTGACAAAAGTACTGGCTGGGATGATTTAGTTCAGCCCTAGGATTCTATGATTCTTAAGTTGGTCTCAGGTGCTGTGCAGTAGATCCCAAGATTTAGAGTTTAGCTTTACGCAGTTTTTCTAATATCCCAATGGCTCAGACAGCCTTTCCTTCTGAACCAACACGCTGAAGGCACTTACATGTCCAATGTTTTTCTTCTTGTCTTGCAATTGATACATTTTTTATAAAGCTCAGGCTCCAATTTCCTTTCATATTATAGAGAGGATATCCTTTTCCTGTGAAGCTGTATGAGGATTTTCCCTCAAAGAAATATCATCTAATGACCTGTAATTAGGTTAAATGAATGTATTAGCCAAAAGACAAGGCACTGGTCACTGATGCTTTAATTGCAGTATATGTTCATTCCCATTACTTTGTTTGCGAGCACTTATACAGCTGTTTCAACTGTGTAAAATGGCAGTCGTGCCATAGCGTTTGATATTTACTTTTTAGCAGATGGCACGACTGACCACCATACATTGGCTTTTAATAGTATAAATGACATCACTGGTAATGTAGCTCAACTCCAATTTAAGTTTTATAAAAATATTTTTAAAAGTTTATATTTCATACTTACATACATTTAAAACCAAAAGATGACAAAAATAAAACAAAATCCAATCACACTGAGACATCAAAGATGTACAGCAGAGGACAATTCAACAAAGTTACTAACGTGTTTGTGATTTGATCCACAAAGTTAAATAAGCATTAATGGTAGGAGTTATGAAATACATTTGATCTGAAAGCAATTTATTTACTTGGCGGACCAAAGTGAACACACAGTTTAATGATTTTTTAAAAGATACAGGCAGTCCCCGACTTACGTGGATCCGACTTACGTCGGATCCCTAGATACGAACGGGGTGAGGCAACTCCCGCACATGCGCAGCAGCATTCCCGGGGCTCGCTCACCTGGGTCCTAGGATCCTCCTCCTCCTCGGGCCGGCTCCGACTGGGGTCCCGCAGAGCTGCCGGGCAGAGGAAAAGTGCCTCCCCATGCCCGCTGCCTCGCATCCTGCACGCCTCCCCCCTCCCCCCCGCCAGCAAAAGGCTGCCCCCTCCCCCGCGCAACAGGCTGCGGAACAGG